GTCATGTCTCCCCCCCCCCCTTTTTTTCCTCCTTTTTTATTATTTCACTTTGTAGGGCTGGGAGGCGGGTTTAATAGTGATTTTGTTTAGAAGGACAAAAAAAGGGGGGGAAGGGGTTAAAAAACGAACAGTTGGATGGTATCTTTCAAGACAATATCAAGGCTTAAGTTATTGATTATTTATTGCTGTTTACTTTTAATAATTTATTTTTTTTTTCTGTTTCAATAAAATAAATGAAAAACTAGAATGAGATGATACACTTGGGGTCTTACAGTGATATGGTAAGGATACGCTGAGAAAAAAACATGCCCGAGAATACCCGTTAATTTTTTAACAAAATTCTGTTACGACTGGACTTTGAGATCATCACTGAATTTAATTTTCAGGCCTGGGTTTAGACGTTTCCCTAAAACCACTCCGAACATTTCTGTGGACCAGGAAACAGACACAGAAGCAGAAAGGCGGCGTTCTCGCGCTGGGTTTTACGTTCAAGGATCTTTTGTAAAATACACACTGGTGTAAATGGAATGAGATCTGGGGGGGCGGGAGAGGTTCGAGCTTGATCTACACAATACTATGAAAACAGAACTGGATTTGGGGCGTTCAAATGTTGAAACAGAACACAATGTGGGGTGGGGGGAACAGCCCCACTTTCTGTCCTGTTGCAAAACGTTTCACTGCGTTTTGGTCCTCATATCAGCCCCGCCAGAGGTAACCGGGAAGGGACCCCTTTGGGGCCCGAGTGGAAGAACGACGGGTCCAGAGTCAAGGCAGGGGCTTCGGCGGTTGTCGCAGTTCACCACGGAGAGGATGTAGGCTTTGGGAAACGTGTCCTGAATTTGGCTCCCTTTGGGTTTGTGGAATGGGGAGCCACGTGGCATCGTGGTCCAGTGGTGGTGCTTCTTCCGGACATTCAGAGGCCTGTGGACTTTCAACATGGCACCCTTGAGCAGAGCGAAAGAGGACTAGCGCGAAGGATCCAGAGGAGAACTTGACTGTGGTCTCAGGCAAGGCCACCGTCTGGTCCTCGCCAGCCAACGAGGACGTCAGTTCCAGGAGGAGCTCCGTAACCTACCGCATGCAAACCTTGCTGCCCTCCCCAAAATCTGGGTCGTTCAGATGCACGGGAGGGTCTAAGGGCAGCCTCGGTTTTTTCCCATCCTGGAGAGACCCCCTCAGTCAGAGGTCCAGCTTGGGGGCATCACAGGAAGTCCTTGGTGATGGCCTCGGCAAAGTTGGGCGCGGCCATCAGGATGGCGATGGAGCAGACGATGTGGAAGAGGGCGAAGAGGACCAAGCAGAGACGGTCGATGACCGCCGCGGCGAATTTCCACTGGCTGCAGGTGGCCCGAGAGACATCTTGGCTCCGGAAACGCTGGGCCACGTATCGCAGCTCCCTCAAGATCGAGCTGAGCTGGGGGGCAGAGAGAAGGTCCTCTGGGATGGGGGACGGAGGCTCCGGCGAGAAAAGGAAAGGCCGTGGCACCACGGGCGGTTTGGTGGAGAAGGGGGCGGCGACGGGGACCCCCGTGTAAGCCAGGTTGCCGTTGGCGATGGGCCCAGCCGGACGGGTCGGCGGGCTGCCCCCATCACTGTTGTCCGAACTGCAGCTCAGCAAGCTGGGGGCACAGGGGGGGCGCCCCACGGGCTCTTCTCCCGGCTGGCGCATCCTCAGGAGCCAAGCGCCCCAGTTCAACACCAGCACCTGGACCTGCGTGGAAACGACAGCTGGGTGAGAAGAGGGGACCCCAAGTCTCGCTTGGAGTCGAGGCAAGAGCAAGGGCCAATGGAAGAAGCGGGGAAGAAGATGGAAGGATGGCTGGTTCCTGCTTTGCGTCGAGCCTCCCGGACAGTCCTCAAATCTGCAACGTGGGCATTAGCCCTGGTAAATCGAAACTCTGAGAGGTGGGCATAAAGAGACTGAAGAACCTGCAACTTAAGATGATGAAAATGCTTCTCCACTGGTTTAGAAGGCCCCACATATTCCCAGGAGGACAGGCCAAAGGGAGAGATCCAGAAACAGGCACCCCAGTGAGAGACAGAAATTGTACTTTAGCAGGACATTATGGAAACGTGATGTTTTTAGTCCCACTTGGCTTTGCAAAGTTGATGGAAAGAGACCCCAGAAAGCGGGAATATTGCTACGGCTCGGGGCAGTTCTGCAAAGTTTCGCCCACGGAGCAGAATCCCCGAAGCCCAAACGGGAAGTGGCACTCACCCATCTTGGCATGGATCCGCCCTCGGGGTCGTGGTGATGATACTGGAGGACAAAGACGGTGGTCATCACAGAGAGGCCCACCATGCCCATGGTGCTGGCGAAGTATTGCCCTGGGGAGGAAATCAGAGCAGGAGGGTCCTTGAGGGATCTCGGGGATTCACCCCAATGTTTTTAAGCCGTTGATCAGCACCCTCAAATACCAACCAGCCCCCAGGAAGAGCAGGAAAAGGGGAGGCCTCCAGCAAAATATCTCCACGCTCCAACCAAGCTTCCACATTCATGCCTGCCGACGCCTTATTTTTCGTGCGTTCCTTGCAGCGTAGAAAGGCCGTCCCGCCAGATGCCCAGGCGACCCTCCCAAGCTCGGAACGGGGAGGAAGGGCGGAGGGCGCCCTGTGGAAACGAAGCCTTCCCCTCGCCCCCTCCTCCACGCTCACCTATCAGCGGCACGGAGTCCGAGGTGGCCGGCATCACTTCAGCCACCAGCAGCATGAAGACGGTGAGCGAGAGCAGCACGGTGATGCCTGGCGGGAAAGGAAGCCCCAAAGGGTCAGTCCCATAGAGCCTTCCAGGAGGGAGCCCCTGATCGCCCGCATGTGCCTGACCTCAGCCTCAGTCTTCCCATCTGCAATATGGGGGCAGCTTTAGACTGACCTCCCTTGCTGGAAAGGGGGCCAAGGTAAGATTGAGGCCGGGGCTCTTGGCACACGAGGAAAAGGTTTCTGAATGGAAGAATAAAACAGACCGGGGAGTGCAACGAGACTACAACAGGTCCACAGGACTCAGGCTTTAAATTCTCCCCAGCTGGGCAGCTGGAGAGAGGGCTAATCTATCCCCATCGCTCTGGTGGTGTGGGTTTTAAAACGATCCAAACTCTGTTTTCACCCGCCAGATATAGGGGTGGGGGAAAGACAGCCTGTGAAGCCAGCTGGGTGCTGGGTGCCAAATCAACCCGAGCCTCCCTCGCAGAGCTTCCAAGAAGTGATGGGGGGGCGGAAAAAGGGTTTCAATAAACAGTATTGAGATGAACGTATGAGTTGTTCTTGTTCTGGGGGGAGAGCGGGAAGAGGAGGCGTTGGGCACCCCTGCAGAAGGACCCAGGGTGTCTCAAGGGATGGGTGTGCAAAGGGGATAAAGAACCGGCTTGCTTTTGCAGCGTAGAGAAATGGCTTTTTCCGCTCCTTAAACCACAGGAAAAAAATTCTCCGTCCTTAACGGATGGAGCCCGGCGGCATCTTTTCCGACTGACAAATTTTATTAAAAGGCCCTTTCATCAGATTTGTGAGCTGGAAAAGATGCTCCCAGACTCCGACGTTTTCGTCACTGTAGAGCGGTGTTTCTCAACCTTGGCAGCTTGAAGATGCCTGGACGTCAACTCCCAGAAT